TGAATCTCTTTCTTTTCGGTCTCACTATTTCTCTCTACTTTGCTCTTCATCACATTTTCCTTTTACACAATTCACCATTTTGATGGAAAATCTCACGTCTATTTGTCACCCTTTCTTTCTTTCTTCCTTACTTTCTTTCTTTCTTACTTTATTTTAATTGAATCTCTTTCATTTCTATTTCCCTACCCACTATGTCTTTATTTCTCTCTCTCTCCTCTTCTCTTCATCCTTTTATGCAATTCATTCTTTTATGCAAATCACCCTCTTTTGTAAACTCCCACTTTTACTTCATTCATTCTTTCATTCTTCATTACTTTTTCTTCTATTGAATCTCTTTCTTTTCTTTTTGTCTTTCTGTCTTGCTGTCGCTCTCTATTTCTTTCTTCATCACATTTCTCTTTTATACAATTCACCGTTTTGTGGGGAAAGCTCACTTCTACTTGCTTTCTTTCTTTCTTTCTTTCTTTCTTTCTTTTCTTCATTACTTTTTTTTATTAAATCTCTTTCATTCTTTATTCCCCCCCCCCACCTGTCTTTATTTCTCTCGCTCTCTTCTTTCTCCTCCGCTCTTCATCACTTTATTCCTTTAAGGAAAGCGCCATCTTTGGCAAAATCCCTCTCCTACTTGTCATTCTATCTTTCTTTTTCTCTCTCTCCCTCTCCTATTCTCTTTATTATTATTTTTATCAGAATCATCATCTTTTAGTGAAAGTCTCTTCTACTTGTCTCACTCTCTCTCTCTCTGTCTTTTCCCTTACATTTCTGTCTCGTTTTTCTTTCTCAGTTGTTTTCATATCCTCACTCTTCCACAGTCCTAAGCAGTCTTCATCTTTAAGCCATAACCTTACCAAATTAGTAATGGATACCAGCCTCTCCATATACTAAATCAAAAAAAAAAACTATGGTCCATAATTAAAAGAGATATAAATGAGAATAGAGAACAATATTCAAGCAAAGAAGCTCTTAGGGAAGTCGCAAAAATGTTTCAAGAAATGTTAATGGTAAAACAATAGAAAAGTAAATGGAAAACAATTAATGAAAGAATGATGAAGGTTGTAGAATGTCAAGAAACATTAAAAATGGAAACAAAACAGGCACTTATATTTAACATCAGGAATAGACCATTGAAATTTTTAGGGCACATAACGAGGTAAGAGGGCTTGGAAAATTTGATACTCACAGGACTCAAAGGCAAGAGCAGACAGAGCAAAACTATGCATAACTTATCTGGCAAGTTTGAGTGAATGGACAATAGAAAAGGGTTCAGGAAAGATGTTAAAAAGATAAAATTAATTGAGAGCTACAAAGGACAGGAAGTTGTTAAAATCCTGAAGGGACACAAAACATAGAAGAAGAAGAAGATATGGGCTATTGTCTTAATCAGATATGTTTCTATGGCCTATATCTTTTAGATTCAAGATTTCAGACTATATATATATATAGAGAGAGAGAGAGAGAGTCATCTACAGACAGACTGTTTCGCTGTATCACAGCTCATCAGTGTGACTAGACATCCAATTCCTTCAAACCGGGATCAAAACCCGGCTGATTTGGCATTAGTCAGAGATTCCATCCCCAAGCTATTGTTGCATGGTGGAGGGGAATGGAAATTTTAATGTTTTTACTATGCAAAAGGTGTCAGTAGCTAGGAGAGCTCGATTCGAAGAGAAGAGCATTGCATTAGCAGCAGTTTATAAAATCACTCCTTTTATATATAAAGCATAGTGTACATGTGTCTGTCTGTTCATCCGTTTTTCAATCTTGATAAATCATAAACAGTCTGAAGTAACAGGTAGTAACCACAGTAGTTACATACTATTAAAAATTAAATGAATAACTCATTTAAAGTTAAATATTGAACAGTGTGAAAGGTTTAAAAAATAATTCTTTATTAAAGATTTAACTTTGATTTTGATTTTTGTTGCAATTGCAATTGATATTCTTTAATCAAAACATAATTAAAGATTAAGTGGGGCATGGTAGGTTGCTCATATGTTTTTTTTTTTTTTTTCTAGCATGCATGTTGTGACGTATTTGAAATATTACATAGTTCAAGTTGCCTAACGTCTTTTAAGAGTGACTTTATGTTAAGGAATCATAAAGAATGGTGATTTTAAAAGAAAATAAATATTGTGCACAAAATTAATGTAAAAAAACTACAGAGATCAGTTGCATATACAAAGGAAGATTATGCCAGATTAAGGTGTTGGATAAAGATGAAATTATTTTATTTTTTCTAAATTCTTATAACACTTATGTACATAGGATACTGAAGGTAAAAGATCAAACGCCCAAAACCCTCTGCAGGATTGAGCTTAAAGTCTGCCTGTAGGGCAGTTTCTAGGCTAGTATACAGGGTGTAATGTATAAATTGTTGTCTAAATTATGCAAAACTGAAATAGCATCTCATTTTAACAAATATATTTACCAAAATTACATTGAAATACTAAAGAGTAAATTTATTCAATAAAATTGCCATTGGCTTAAACCACAACCGCCAGACAACTTTGGAATCACCTGCAACTCTTCTGGATGGTTTCCTTGTTTAAGTTGGTGAATGCTGCCATAATCCTTGCCTTCAGTTCATCTTTAGTTTTACAAGGAGTTTTGATGGTCTCCCACTCAGCTGCGCCCACACATAATAATCAAGGGGGTTGCAATCTGGGGAGTTAGGTGGCCAGATGTAAGGGATGATGTGGTTGCAGAAATTGTCTGACAGTCATGACTGGATTCTCTTTCTTGTGTGGCATGGTGCAGAGTCCTATTACCAGATATAGGATCTTCCAGCAACCACCCTCTTGGCCAAGAGCAGCACTACTTCTTCAAGGCACAATGTAGGCCTCCATGTGGAGCTTTGTTAGAAGATGAATGGAGGCATAACATTACCATCATTAACAATCACTCCTTTTGGGCCAATTTAAAAAATGAACAAAGGTGACCTCAAGCTTTAGTGTACTTCTCATCGTTGGAATATGAAGGGAATGTGGGTGGTTTATTATAATATGAGTGGCATGGCAGCTCCTTGCCATGAAGGTTTGAATTGGCAGGACCAGAGAATGTGTTTCATCCAAGCACTTTCTGTGCAAGTAGTGAAAGAACAGTGAGAGGCTTGCCACATCCTGCCCGTGGGAAGAGTTTGGAGGGTGGAGAATAATTTGTTATCCACGAAGGCTCGAAGACGCTTTTGAACTCTGTCAAGACTAGAAAGACAGGTCTGGGCATCTCCCACCTAAATGTGACAACAGTACTTCATTTTCAGCCTGATCTGGTTCTTGAGATAGAGGATAGCAGGAGGAGCAAGGTGCTTACTGAAGCGGTACAGGGAGCCAGCCATTTTATCTGCATCTATAGCAATGGATTGTATATATGAGTTCCACTTGAGGTCAGGTGTGAGTCTGAGGCCCAATATTCTCTCAAGGCATGGTGCCTCCTCAAAGGGACATCTGTTTATCATGACTGGTCGTATTTTACGGTTGAAACGGCAGTGATGAAATGTAACTAGTACATCTTTTCTTTTTTTTTTAAGCATTACGCCCTGAGCAAGGCGTGAAGCCACTAGGATGCAGGGGGTTGCAGAAGATTTGGAGCAAGAGCAGATAGGAGTGATAGAAGAAAGGATGAGGAGAGGGATAGTGGGTAGATCAAGGTAACTGGAGGTGTCGATTAACATTACATTTGAATAGTTGGAGATTATAGCTCTCAGGGAAACAGTAATTGGGGTGTTCCACAGGCGAGAGGTGTGAGGTATGAAGCTATTGGAGTAGAAGAGACGGCTACATTTAAAAGTTTCTACAGTGTAAGGGTGGGAGCAGGATGCCAGCCTCGTAGGGCGCTTGAATTCATGGAGTCTGAGAACCAGTGAAAGCAGCTCATTGGAGCAATTACCATGAAAGTATTTGTAGAAAAGACAGAGAGGCGATGACGTGTCTGTGAGAGTGACTGTAGACGAGATGCCAGATCAGGGCCAATTATATTACATATCTGTCTCTGGATCTTGTCAAGAACTCCGAGGTAAACAGAAGGTGCCCCAGACCATATATGGCAGCAATCCTATAGGTAGAAACAGTAAAAACCATTAATGGTTCATCTGTGTGGTATTGTATGAGTGTAAAGAGCAAGAAGTGAAGTTCTTGGGGTTATTCTGGAAAGATACGAAGGGAATGGGAATTATTCACCATTTTGTGATAGGATGAAGGAATATAGATTGTCAGGGAGAAGCTTGCAATGTTTTTTTCTATAGGAAAGGGGTTGTAGGGTGGAAAATTATTCATCCGTCACAAGTCTGTGTGGATGCTTCTCTCGAAGCATGAAACCACCTTGAAGGGACATGATTGGTAGTATTTTTCCAACCCAAACGGCAGTGATACAATTTAACTAATAAATTCTGGAGGTAAAATAACAAAAGCCATCAATGGTTCATCAATGTGGTGTTGTATGAGCAAGAAGTGAAATTTCTGGGTTTATGTAGGAAAGATAATGGTTTACCCTTGACTTGAAGAGGTCAAGACTGTAGTGATTGGGAGAACATCCTGCTGGGAGTTTGTTCTACAAAGCAGCAATTTTTAGAAAGAAGCTGTCTGAATGGAACTTACTCCTTACTAATGGAATATGAAGGGAATAGGGAAAATCCACCCTTTTGTACATGGCATGGCATGTCCCAGTTGTCAGGAGTGGTAGGATGAAGGAATGTAATTCATCCAATCACTTCACATGGAAGTAACAATAGAGCATTGAGAGACTCGCCACATCTTCTTTATGAGAGAGGTTTGAGGTTAGAAACAAGGACTCGGAGATGCTTTTGAACTCTATCAAGACTGGAAAATCAGGTCTGAACAGTTCTTGCCCAAATATGACAAAAATACTCTATTTTCGGCCTGATCTGGCTCTTGTAAAGGTAGAGGCTAGCATGAGGAGTCAGGTGCTTACTGAAGCGGCACAAAAAGTCAATCATTTTACCTATTTCTTATTTTCATTCCTGACTCCAAATTTTCAGGGATAAAATGTATCTATTTTTCTTTACATCTTTCCTCCAAGTTCCCACTAACCAAACATTTTATATTTTTTGGTTTGGTTTGTTTTGTTTTACGGCATATTAACCTCAGTGGGTTATTTAATGCCGACAAAATTTTTATTACCGGTAATATTTTTTTTCCAAAAATGTATTGCTGGTAATATGTTTTTCTTCAAAAATCTATTTCTGGGAATATTTTTTCTTCAAAAATCTATTTTTGGGAATATTTTTTCTTCAAAAATGTATAGCTGGTAATATTTTTCCAAAAAATGTATAGCTGTTTATATTGCTGGTAATTTCTTTTGATTTTTTAAGTATTGCTGATAATCATTTTTCCTTCACAAAATTATTGCTGGTAATATTTTTACAAAGTATTTCTGGTATTAAAACCTATATTTACACTTTTTTGATCCAAGTTTGGGTGTTAACTATTTCCCCACAGCTGGGACCCTAACAGATGCTACCACCCTAGGTCAGGGTAGACCTGTGAACACCAGCAATTAAGAGGTGGTTCCACGCTCCTCAAAACCTCCTGATCAGAGGCCTTGCTGTTGGATGTATTTTATCATCTTACCCAGGACGCAGATGTAGTTTATAGTCATACCCAGGACGGAAACATTTTATAGAGATGCTTTTGTTTGCTATTAGGGATTGTAGACATTTGTAGTGTTTAATTTGTTCTCTGTTTGAAAATCTATTCATCTGTTTTATTTCTAAGAAGACAGACAATATGGTCGTCAGTAAGAGGAACAACGCAAGATGTGAGCTTCCAAATGGAGGCTTTAAAATCAAGTAGATTCAGGAGTTTAACTATGTGGGTAGTGTAATAACAGATGACAGAAAGTGCAACACAGAGATCCGATGGCACATACGTATAGTAAAAGAAACCTGCCAGATACTAAGCAATGTGTTACAACATTCTGTAGAAACAAAGAAAAAAAGTGTTAGACTATCTTCCTGTATGGCAGTGAGTGTTGGGAAATCTCCTTATGGACAAAGAGACTTTAAACAAGAGATATGATAGTGAAAGTTGGGCAATTTCTTCACAGATGAAGAGAAACTTTGAGGCAACAAAGACGTTCTACAGACAGATGATGAGCATACCATGAAGAGAACATACGATAAGTGAATTTCTGAACGAGATAGGAATTAGAAAGATACTCAAAATCAGAAAGAGTGTTGAAATCACTTGGACAAATCATGAGGAAAGACGGCTTGGAAAAATTAATACTCACAGGACATATTAAGAGAAGGAGGGGTAGAGGGAAACAGTGTGAATGGATGGCAGAGCAGGGATAAGGATGGATGGTAACGATTTAAACTTTTTGAACTAGGCAGCTCCCACCCAAATATGACAACAGTACTCCATTTTTGGCTTGATCTGGCTCTTATAAAAATTATTCTTGTCTCTGTTACATCACAATCTTACTGCTTTATTTCTCTCTCTATCTCTATCTCTGTAACTTTCTCTCTCACTGTCTCTTTATATATGTCTCTCTTTCTCTATGTCTGTCTGGTTTAATCTATTGTGTCTTCACTCACTTTTTCTTATAGTCTTCTTTATAACATTTTTTTTATTACTCAGTCCAGTCCCTCTTTGTCATTTTTTTTCCCTTGATTTCTCTATATAGTAACCCCCCCTTTTTTTTCCTTTTCTTTCTCCTTTCAAAACTTACCACCCTCACTCTATCTTAATCTCTCTCACTCTCTCCCTTTCTTTCAACCTGTACCTTCTCTCTGTATTCAGTTCTTTTTTCTCTTTTACTTTCTCTTTTACTTATCTTTGTGACTATTCAGACATCTAACTGTGAGTCTAGAGAGCATTGGGAGACAGGAAATGTTTGTTGGAAACAAAGAAAAGAGTACTGGTATCTCTCTTCCTGTATGGCAGCAAATGCTGGACAGTCTCCTCAAAGATGAAGAAGAGACTCGAAGCAACAGAAATGTGGTTCTGCAGAAGATTCTAAGGATACCATGGACTGAACATGTGAACAACAAGATTTTGGAGAGAACGGAAAAACTTATACTTAACATCAGGAAGAGGTAGTTGAAATTTCTGGGACATGTAATGAGGAAAGAGGGCTTGGAAAATCTGATACTCACAGGACAGAATGAAAGAGTGACAGAGGAAAGCAACATGTGGCGTACTTAATGGGCTCAAGCAAATGGATAGCAGAACAGGGTCTGGGAGAAATAACAAAACTTATTAAGAGCTACAAGGGACAGGAAGAGGTGGAGGGCCATGATCACCCAAGTTCCAAAGGGAAATAGCACATAAATGAAGAAGAACTATCTTTCTATCTCTACTGCCAATGTTATTACTTTCTCTAGCTCTCTCTTTCCTTTTCTCAGCATACAGCCATATTACATTGAAACACTGGTCACCAAGGTTAAGCAACATCAAGCCTTATCAGTACCTAAATGGGTGACTGCTTGGGGATACCAAGTGCTGTTAACTTTGATATATAGATGGTTTAATGGCTAACAGCCCGAAATTGGAACTTGATTTGTCGAATTTCAGTTGGGTTTCTTATATAGACTTACATGTAAATACCTTTGGGAAAGGTGTAAAATCCACCTCAACTGCCCCATCTATGGGTTAATTAGTAGGTTTCATATCAGCAAACTACCATTGTCTCAAAAGAATTCCTACAATCTAAAAATATTTTCTGGCTTTAAATGTTGGTTGGTTGATTTTGTTTCACAGCATATCAACATCTCTATCGGTGATTTAATGCCGAAATCTAAATATTTTTATATATATTTATAACTACCTACAGGTTGGTTATTCTACTTTTAAAATTTAGCATTGGTAATTTTACTGTAAATATGTATCATTGATAATTTTATGATATAAAAATGCATTGCTGGCATTTTTACTATAAAAATGTATTGTTATACTTTCATAGTGTTTGTTTTTTTTTTTGTGGGGGTTCACTATTTGTCACTAACTGGGACCCTAATAGGTGCTACCTCTCCAGACATGGGAACAACAGCAATTAAAAGGTAGTTTCACACTTCTCAAAATTACCAATCTCTTGATCAAAGGCCTTGGTGCCAGATGTAGTTTTTTATCATATCCAGGAGTATCTGGCTTTAATTAACCTACAAAACGTTGATAAGCTATAAAAACAAATTAATCATTTGATTTATTTTTCAATCTCTGGGTTTTATATAAGCTTTCTAATTCTCTTTCTCTCTGACTTACAGGCCATGACTTTTTATATAAGCTTTCGCTTTCTCTTTCTCTGTACTTTACCTACCTTTCCTTTTAATTAAATTTTTTATTTCTCTTTCGTTTACCTGCCATTCTTTTCTCTTTCTCTGTTTACCTGCCATTCCTTTTGATATAAGCTTTCTTTTTCTTTCTTTTGGTCTCTATATTTTACCTATTTCTCTTTCTCTCTAGTTTACCTTTCATCTTTATATATAAGCTTTCTATTTCTTTTTCTCTTTCTCTTTGGTTTACCTACCATATATTTTATATAAGCTTTCTATTTCTCTTTCTCTCTAGTTTACCTGTTCACATCTTTATATATAAGCTTTCTTTTCTCTTTCTCTTTGGTTTACCTACCATATATTTTATATAAGCTTTCTATTTCTCTTTCTCTCTAGTTTACCTGTTCACATCTTTATATATAAGCTTTCTATTTCTCTTTCTCTTTCTCTTTGGTTTACCTACCATATATTTTATATAAGCTTTCTATTTCTCTTTCTCTCTAGTTTACCTGTTCACATCTCTATATATAAGCTTTCTATTTCTCTTTCTCTTTTTTTTATCTGCCATGTATTGATTCTTCTTTATTTACAACACTTTTTTTTAATAATTCTCTTCAGTCTCTCTTTGATATTCTTTCTATACATACATTTTTCTCTCTTATTCTCAATCTCTTTTTTTTGCTTTCATTTTTTTTTCATTCCTTGTTTCATTTTTCATTCTAAAATATCTTTGCCTTTATCAAGTCAGTTCTCCTGCCTTTCATGCATTTTCAGTCTTTCTTCATTGCTTTCCATGTTATCCCTTCTCTTAAAGCTCAAATCTGCAGCATCTACTGAATTGATCCCTTTTACCTTTTTTCATTAAAAAAAAAATAAGTCTCCTTATCTTTCACTTCATCTTTTTCTTTATTTCAAACAATTAATTAAGAACCCCAAAATTTAATCTTCGACATTTTTTTTCTCTTTCTTCCATCTCTCAGAACTCTTCTCCCTCTCCTCACCCTCCCTTCCTTCCTTTGTTCATTAATTTGATGATGCTTTGGATTATTTTTTTTTTTTTTTCTGTAAGCGTCTGCCTTCATCTTTTCTCATCTTCTCTCAACTTCTATTGGTTTGTTTGTTTTTTTCTTTCTTTTTTCTTTTTTTTTGTTTTGTTTTGTTTTCATATGCAAAAATCATTTATTGTGTTTGTTTGTGAGCCAAAAGATTACACCAGTAATATGCCAAGTGTGCCTGTGTGGGGGTAGGGCAGAAAAGAGGGATCTCCAGGGGACATGCAAGCCATCACTGATTAGAAAGCTTTTTTTTTTTTTTTTTTTCTTCTTTGAATTTTATTCTTATTCTGTTTGTTTTTATATTCTTTTATTCTGTTCTGATTTATTTCCTATTCTGTGATTCTATTTTATAATATTCATCAAGATTTTATTCTCTTCGTTTTCTGTTTTGTTTTTGTTCCCTAATTCCATGCTCTACATTTAATTTCAATTTTATTTTTTTTGACACTTCATATTTTTATAAGCTATTCTTGCTATTTTCAAGATCTCAGTAATGAAGATTTTCTATAACTTTTCTATATTTTTTTCTATAAATTTCTATAAATACTGGGGATATGAGAAAGTCTTTTATTCTGCTTTAAACAATGGAAATTTCTTTGTGGTAATAATTTGAAATGAAACTTAATCCATACTAGCCACCAGTCTACTGTTCTACCTTCTGCATAATATATGTCTTATAATATTCTGTCTCTTTAATTCCTGTTCTTTTATCGTTCTACTCCTCAATAGTGTTCTCTCACTTTCATTAACCCCTTGCATCTTAGTGGCTTTATTGCCCTGCTTAATTAAACATATATGTATATATCTAAGTACTGATCTCTACAATTTTCATTCATTCTTATAATTATTGGTTTTTATGTTTGAGAAGAGGCTTAATTTTATACATTTGGGGATATTGGGTATATAATATCCTGCAACACAGTATATATTACTAAAACAATATATTTATTGCCATACTGATATTGGATATTGGATATTGCCATAATGACATTAGATACTGCCATACTGATATTGGATATTGCTATACTGATATTGAATATTAGATATTGCCATATTGATACTGGATATTGGATATTGATATTGGATATTGCCATACTGATATTGAATATTGTCATGATGATATTGGATATTGATATAGGATATTGCTATACTGATACTGGATATCCTGCAACCAAGTATCTATCGCTAAAACAATATATTTATTGCCATACTGATATTGGATATTGCATATTGCCATATTGATATTGGATATTGATAATGGATATTGCCATACTGATACTGGATATTGTTATGCTGACATTGAATATTGATAATGGATATTGTTATACTGATATTGGATATTAATATTGCCATACTGATATTGAATATTGAATATAGGATATCATGCAACCTATTATGTATCAATAAAATAACATATTTATTGCCTTACTGATATTGAATATTGGATATTTCCATACTGATATTAGATATTGGATATTGCCATATTGATAATGAATATTGCAATTACTGATAATTGATATTGATAGTGATATTGGACATTACCATACTGATATTGGATATTGGATATCCTGTAACCCAGTATGCATCATTAAAACAATATATTTATTGCCATACTGAATTCTTTGTATACTAAATATTTTTTGACTTCTGACTCTATCATGTTAAATCCAATAGCCCATTAGAATTGGGGGTGGGGGGCACCACATGCAGCCATAGCTGTAGTAGATATTCTTAGAGCAAAGAAAAATCTGCAATGTCATTGGTCTTGCCCTGGCATCTCTGCTTCAGTCACTTTCCCACCTCCATAATGTAGCTTCCCTGTGCCATTCTATAAATACTTTCATGGTAATTGCTCTGATGAACTTTCTGCTATGGTAACTAGACTCTATGAATTTAAGTGCAGTACTACATTGGCAACAAGGTCTCATCATTTTACAGTTGAAATGATGCCAGGTCTGGATCGATAACATTGCAGATTCTTCTTTGGATTTCATTGAGAAACTCTAAAAACATAGCAAATGTGCCTTAACCAGATGTGGCAGCAATATTCAATGTATGCATGAATGGTAGACTTATAAATGTGTAAGATAGATTCTGGTGAGAAAAATTGTCTAGCATGACACAGTGAATCAATTTTCCTAGCAGCAGACATAGCAGTTGATTCAATATATGCAATTATTCTTTGGCAGTAGTATTTTTACTATAGAAACACACTGAAAATTAAATAATTTACAATAGAAATGCATTATGAACAAATTAAATATTTTATTATAGAAGTGCATTGTAAATAAGTATATTGAAGGAGTGCATTGTAAATTAGACAATTTACTATAGAAAACTATTTCAAATGAAATAACAATTAAATAAGTTACTATAGCTGTACATTTTACTGAAGTCAAAATAGGAACTGTCTGCTGCTTGGATTTAATGGAAGTTTTCTTGATGAAATATAATGATCAATGAAAGTGTTCCAGATGAAATCTAACAATCAATTGAAGTGTTCCTGATGAAATATAACAATCAATGAAAGTGTTCTTGATAAAATATAACAATCAATTGACGTCTTCTTGATGAAATAGAACAATCTATGAAAGTGTTCCTGATGAAATATAATGATCAATGAAAGTGTTCCTGATAAAATCTAACAATCAATGAAAGTGTTCCTGATGAAATCTAACAATCAATTGAAGTGTTCTTGATAAAATATAACAATCAATGAGAGTGTTCATGATGAAGTGTAACAATCAATGGAAGTGTTTCTGATGTAATATGGCCATTATATGCATTGTACTTTATTTGCATAGATTGTATAATAGCTAAATAGTTATGTAAATTGTGATGCTATGCATAATTCATAGGCAAATTCATACGGGTTAATTATGAAACCTCAGCATAAATGGAATCATTTTTCCCCTGAGGATTTTTTAGGATATTGATTTCTTTTGGTTTAAACATTGCTTGTTCTTCTGCTGTAACCTCCTTTTAGCTGCACTTGAGTTTTTGTCTGACTAAAATTCTCAAAAATGACAATATGCAAAATAATCTTCTCATTCTCGTCTTCTTTTTCTCCTCCTCCTCCTTCTTCTTCTTCTTCTTCTATGTGTCATGTCTCCTCAGGACATTAGCAATCATGTCTCTTCACAATTTCCTGTTCTTTTTATGTTAGTACATTCCGTTGTTTCATAATTTCTCCAAAACCCTGTTCTCCTCTGCATTTAAACAAGCTCGTTAGGTAAGTTACACACTGTTTTCCTCTGCTCCTGTTTCCTGCAATATGTCCTGTGGGTATTAGATTTCCCAAGCCCTCTTTCCTCATTATGTACCCTAGAAATTTCAACTGTCTCTTTCTACTGTCAACTATAAGTATCTTCTTTGTTTCCATTTTCCCTAAAACTTGGTTGGAAATAAATGCATTAACTTAAATCTTGATTAATCTCCAAACGTCTAAAAACAAAATCTCTATTTCAGTCACTTTCATACTGCCATGACATGACTTCCCTCTTTCTTTTCTATAAATATTTCCATGCCATTTATTTTAATGAGTTCTCCTACTTGGTACACTAACATTATTTTATTTAGTTTCATATAAATAGATTATTACATATTGTAAATACACATTAGGGTTTAGATGTTTAAATTGTTGTTTTATTCCCCTTAACCCACAAATAATGAATTGTACACATGGAGTTTAGTTAGAATTTTCATAGAGACAATGAGGTATTATGGTGAATGTAATAAGAAAGGTAAGTAAGAATGTGTTTTTTTTTTTGTAAGGAATATTGCTGTATGTTTGGGTCAATGTTTGTGGCTAGTTAAGTTTAAAGTTAAAATAGAAGAAGACTGTCCTTTTCCCCATTCCCCATCTTTGGCCTTGTGCCACATTTTCTGTATTTAAGCAGAAATAAATATTGCTCACCTACATTATTTGTTTAGTTTCTTGTAAAAAGATTATTATGCATTGTAAATACACATTGGGGTTTAGATTTTTTAAACTGTTGTTTTATTCCCCTCCTCCCACAGAGAAGACTTGTACATCTGGGGACTAGTTAGAACTTCATAGAGATTTGGTGGTATTATGGTGGATGTAGTAAGAATGGTAAGAAAGAATGTATTGTTTTGGTGTAAGGAATATTGTGGTATATTTGGGTCAGTAATTGTGACTAGCTAAGTTTAATTATAAAACAGAAGATCAACCTTTTTCCTCATTTTCCCTTTTTGCCATGTGCCACATTTTTTTATTTTATTACAAAATAAATATCGCTCTCCTCCTTGGAACCATAACCATATGAATTTAAGCATGCTACTAGATTGGCAACTAGGTCTCATCATTTTTACTCTTGAATTAGCTAAATGTAACCTAAAAGAAGTTCTATTCTAATAAATCCTTTACACACACTTCTTGTCCATGGAACTCTGTTGCGATTTCTTACTTCCTTGCCACCTACAATCATCAAAATTCTAAATGCACAATCAATCACCATTTTATGACTCCTTGAATCCCATTCTTTTATTGTCCTTTTGCCTCTATAAAATCTTCTTATTCTCTTTCACTGTCACTAACAACTTGCATCTTAGTGGCATTATTGCTTTGCTTTGTGTAAAATGATTATTTTTCTAATTGTTTTACCCACACTTTCATTGTTTTTAATCATATCACCCCATACAAGGCAGTAAAGCCACTAAGACACAGGGAGTTACTGGGTGTGAAAGAACAAGAAAAAAAAACATTTGGTAGCGAGA